AGCATTACTGGCGGCTAGATGCAATCAACGGTTCCCAGAAGTGCGGTCCGACACAAAATTTAGGGATCACTGCTACTCTCAGTCCAGTCTTTATCAGTAACAATCGGCACTGAGCTCTGCAAGATCACTAAATGCAATTCTTAAAAAAATATATACTAAAAAACTCAAATTTTCGTCTTGATTCATCAACTCGGTTAACGTCTTTAAACATGTGAGGAAACCCGTCGTACATTGTTGCCGAGCTGTGATTAAATTGTGGCTTCATAATCGGGAGCTTGGCAGTAGATGGTGGGAAAAATTAATACAAGTTTCAAGTCAATCACAAAAAAAGACGAAAGTAATGGAAACAAAACCAGCACATTTTTTCGAAAGACATGAAATCAGTTCGAGATGGAAAGAGATCATGAACAGGGTTAAAATATTCACACAGCTAATATTTAGATTAAGCATATGAAATTTCGTAAAGCAAAAACAACCAAGCAGATACGCAAATAAGTAACAAAGCGGAAAACGTTTTGGTGATGTATACACCATTAACGACGGATCAAAACTAATGAGGACGTCTTATTTACTGCTAAATGTACGCCGAATTTAAGTCGTAAATATGTCGGCCATTTCTATAAATGCTTGAAAGTAGAATGTCGCATATATGACCGGCATTTTGCGTATACGCACATAATTTCTAAAATTAACTGCATGCACGTAGAAAATGAATGTGGCAGGGGAAAAAATTGAACGCTCGAGATACATAAATCGAATATTTTGTGAAGCAGAAAATGAATGCTGGGTAAGAAATTTTAAAAATTATCAGCTTGAATGTCAAAAAAAAAAGTCGTGGAGAAAGCTATACAAACGCGTCAGAACACCCCAATCACAATTTGTAAAACAAAACTCTCAGGTGCCACCAAACCTTCTTTAGGCCATGGAGCAGGTAGGAATAGCTGTCCTAAAATTCAATGAAGTTCTTGCACTCAATATAAGTTTTAATGGATTTGTCCTGAAATATCTGACCATTCCATCAAATCTCGAGATGATGACGAACTTCCTAAACGATCGTCATAACTATAGAATTGTAACAATTTTGAGCCTGAATTAAGAAAAAAATTCCTTCATTATTTAAGGCACTGTGTGAATTTAGCAGAATATATAAAGAAATAAAATGAGCATAAGCACTAAACAGAACAGGAAATTCAAGACGTTATTACCGCAGCAATATGGTTTACAAGACGTTCGAGGTGATGGCGTTTGCATAGGAGCTGACAATTACGTCGACCGAGTCCAACAGTTGATCATCAATATCTTAATTGAATTTTATGACTAGCACCTCATAGGGAGAACAATATAGCAGATACCGCGAGAGAAAAGAAAGCATAACAAACACATCACGCGCTGGCACCAAAACCACCTTCTGAAAGTGAGCATAATAAAACGAGAGCATCCTCAAGCTAGAGGAGGTTCGGGACAGGCGCAAAACTGACCGAGGAAAAGCGAAGGCCTCCTCCTTATAACCTTACGTTTGGGGGAACTCGTCGTCCGCTTGGGGAGTAATGGAAGTAATGCCGTGGACCGCATGCTGCCGTAGCCCCGCGGCCTACAGGGCGCTACGAACGAGAATGAGAGCGATCGAACGAATAAGATGTTCAATAGTGCACCTGCCGAAAACATCCCCAAATACAGCAGCTCCCTTGTTTTGTTTGTATGTTTGTATCAGCGTTGGCAAATCGCAAATCTACGGTGCTACAGGGAAACTTCACCGGTAATAAATAAACTTGTGATACTCCTTGAAGAAATTAGTGGCATTTTTACAGAATTTTGCATGCGCTATTGATTACCGTTACCTAATCATTCTCTACTTGTAATTACGCTACGGCTAAAATTTGTCAACACTCCGACGCTCGTCGGGAGCTTAAAAAATGATCAGTATGCGACGAGCAACGGTCAGAAGGAAATAAGCTGCCTTCCACCCAGCGTAATCTGGCTTTGATGTACGCAATTGTTATCAACGTGACTCACCAAGCAACATAGGAAAAATATTTGTCAAAATTAAAGCTAACACCTACAAGTCAAACTGGAAGGGAAGTCAATCGCCTAACATCCATTAAAACGAGTATCGGGATGTCATCGGCAAATACAAGACCTGATACGTCCACTAGTTTTACGGAGACGTCCCTACCGGGGCTCAGCAGCTTCAAGTTTCAACGCCCAATAGAATAGAAGTGTCGGCACTGAAGAAATAGGCCCATGGCCTGTTGCCGATTCTTGAACTTTTCGTGACTTGATTCACAAGGGATCCGGCCTTTGGAACCCGATCTTTCCATAACTGACGATTGATTGAGATAGCTGCTGGACTTATTGCCTGCTCCGTAATTTGCTAGGCACTTTAAGACTGAACATATGCTCATGCAAAGCTTCGTCTAGTCTGTTCTTGAAGGCGTTCATACTCGGAGCGTCAACGATGCTATCAGGGAGGCTGTTCCACATGTCGGTGACTCGAAGCGAGAAGAAATGTTGTCGCATGGATGTGTTACAACGCAGTTTTTATAGTTTATAGCCGTGGCCCCTGGTGTTGGTTTTTGTTTCAAATTCTATTAAACCTATATCAAGACTAAACTCCACCCAGAGTCGTAGACAAGAAAATTTCACAAAGCGAACGTTTTGGATTAGTCGCTTATCATATTCTTCTCAGCACTCGCTATGGTAAATTTCTTTTCAGCTTATTTTCAGGGAAGAAAAAAGCGCCGGCCCGTATATTAACTGGAGACTAGGGGCAGAACGACTTCAACATAGACAGCGGTGACTATAGACGAGTACGAAAGCGCGGACAATTGACAAAAGCCTGCATCGATGAAAGGCTGAGACTGGATGGGTAATGCCCGTTCGCTTATTTTACATGTCAAGTAGAAGACAGAGAGGAGTGAAAACATACGTAACGCCCTGCAGGGTTACTGAGTCACAAGGCACCAACTATTAGAAAAGTAATTTATTGAGTGAATTATTCTATGACAAGATAGGTGCCTAAGCTCAAAGCAAAGGCAGGCGAGTCAGAAGGCGACATCGATTATGGTCTGAAGTGAAGGAACTCGTTAGTACCAAAGGCAATAATTAAAATTTGAAGATAGATAAGAGTAATTACAAAGAAGTACAGCAAAATATTGGGGAGGAAGAATTAGAAAAATGAGCCCTCACTACAAAATCAGTCAACGCAAATGATGACGTGAGCCTTCGTTTATAAATGATAGTAGCGATAAGATTTCGACAAGGGCAATTCGGTATAACGAAGAATCAGCAGTCATCCCTCAGGCACCACCGCGAAGGAGCAATAGACCTTTTGATCAACTAGCAATTCGGAAAAATTAAAAAAAGTTAAATATCAACCTGGAAGGCGGGCGATCCGAAAAGATTCCCAAAGGATGCATCCGTAGTTTGTAGCCAAGAAAAATTAGATCAACAAAGGAGGATGACGAAAATACATAGAGAAAATCCGAATTGCGTCTCAGGGGAGGAATTAATTAAAAAAACTATACAATTACATCAACTCGGGAAACTGGAGGGAAACGATCCAAGAGAAGAGAGATCGTTGCTCTGGGGCCATACTTTCAAAACTGGCCAAGTGAACGTAAGTACTTACGCTCTATTTTCTTGTCTATGATTGGTGGATTTTGCTTGAAAGGCAGTCAATGATTGGCTGATGAACTTACGATCTCTTAACTTTTTTTTTTCTGGCTGCGCGTGCATCATTGACGGCCTTTCAAGCTAAATCCACCAATCATAGACAAAGAAATAGTGCGTAAGTACTTACGTTCACTTAGCGAGTTTTGAAAGTATAGCCCCTGATCACGTTCAGTAAGGACATCTACGGGGCTACGCAGTTCGTAAAATCAGCGTCGAACCTTATTACCGGCGTTTCAGTGACAGGCCGGCACGTGAAAAGAAACACCGTGCGACAGTTTTTATTCCAATTTAACACTAGATTAATGTATATCTGAAAAAATATAACTCAGTACTCACTGCAGTGAGTGACAGAGAGCGCATGTTCTCGTCGACGAAACGTGAAGTCACGGACGGACGGACAGACAGACAGACGGACGGACGGACGGACGGACCTGACGAGCACAATAGCGCCTTTTATCCATAAATGACAAAATGCGCTAAAAAGGCGAAGTGGTTTCTTTTCACGTTTTTTCGAACAGTATACGTAGGCAACCACTGATGACGTAACCCATCGTCAAGATAGAAGTTTGCTTTGGATCGGAGGCCGAAATAAGTGGCTAAAGCAATAAATGTACAAGTCGAGCAATACAGATGCTTATACAATAGAGATCCTTTACTGTAGGAATTCCCAGACATTTGTCCCAGAGTGAGCAACATTGTAAGCAGGCCAGGTTTGATGGGAGCAGAGGGCAGCGCCAGCCATGTCGGCCGAGGGATCAGACATACGAAGGAAGGCAATAACAGACTTAAGAAATGTTACATTCGGTACAAGTTTCGAAATGCAAGATCAGGGTAAGATCAGGAGACAAAAGAGCCCGAGATCTGAAACCAACGCAAATGAATGAACTAATAACTGCTCCATGCTCGATGTACCTTCGGCAAAACCAGTTAAATTAATGCTGTGAGGTTTCCAAGTTGCGAATGTGGCTGATCAGAGACTGATTTAGCAACGACAACTTGGCACGGAGACCGACAAGAATATTACTTCTATAGACACTGCACATGGACAAGAAAACGCCAAACGTGGACGGAGATCCGTACATATTTTGAGAGCAATACAAGACTCTTAAGTGGAAGTTCGGATTAGAGGTTGAGGTCACCAAAACAGGACGATTTTAAGAAGAACACCGCATTATTCAGTTCTTTTTCTTCAGTTTTCTCCGATGGTTCCTGCAGCCTGATCAATAAACTACACATATTACAGAGTACCAAGCTGAAGGAGCTTTCCAACAGCTTGCATGCACATAGCACCTTTGGCTAACTGTAAATACAAGAGTGGCACCACTCACCGTGCTCGTGGCTGAGGAGTGGCTGGGGCGAGTTACCGACGGAGGGCGTGTCCTGTACGACGACCTGCGCCAGAGGGTCGGCAGGCAGCGAGATCTCCTCCAGATTTGGTATGAGCGCCAGCAGGGAGGTTCTCACGTGACCGCGCATGTTCGCGAAGGCGATCTTCTGGCTGCGCGCGCTGAACTCCTTGCACAGATTCTTGATCGCCTGAGAACATCAAACGCAACTTGACTTATGACAGAAAAATTAGATCAGTACTCACTGCAGTGAGTGACAGAGAGAGCATTTTCTTGTCCGTCCGTCAAGTCACGGACAGACATACGGACATGACGAGCACAATAGCGCTTTTTTCCATAAATGAGAAAATGAGCTAAAAAGGAAAAAGTAAAAAAAAATGCGGAGACCGTTTAGCGTAAGTGAGGAAGGAAAAAAAATAGCGTCGAGAAGTTCATTGTTTGCTTGGCATTCGATTGTTCACCTTGAAGTGAAATAACAAACCGTTTGTAAAGAAAATCTTACTATAAATTGAAGCGTTAAACTCCTGTTCAATAGTGATGGCTGACAGTCGGGATCTCGTTAAGAATGACCTTGTTAAGAATACCACGCACCTCAGTAACGTCTGGGGTGCTTATTCTTAATGAGATCCGACAGTCGTTAAATTCATGAATTGTGCCGCCATAATAAGAAATTATTTTCTATCTTAATGTAATAGGAACTAGGAAGGTCAACTGTAGTTTTAGGTAGTTGAAATTAGGAAACAGTATGTTATTTTCGAGAGCTTGGAAGTTGATGGCATGGAAAGTTTTGGTGACGGCCTGGTCTTATTTGTGATAGCTTTACGCTAACACCATTGAATTCACGCATATGAAGGAGCCTTATTAATTAGTTAATGCATGTAATTTCACCTCTTGGTCTAACCTAAAAAAATTATTGCCTTTGGGAACGTTTTATTCAACTACAAAGCTTGCCGTAGTGAACCCGCTTCCAATTGATGAGTGAGTTAGCTTCCGATTCCATCTGTTACGATGTCAAAACTCGGTTCTCTATTTCGTCTCCTGGTTTCCTGTCAATGTGTCTACTAGCTCTCTTACTAACCTTCTCGAGGTTGAGCTGACCATAATTTATTAACGTAACCTTTATAAAAGCGTCACTAAAAGGCCTATGAGCCACTCCGACATACCGACTAAGGCAATATTTTAGAATGTGTGTAATTGCTCTACTCATCGTTGAATTGACTTAGATCATATTCTGCGCATATTGTTTATAATTCAGCTGTCCAGACAAAGCCTGCATGGTTCAATAGTCGTATCACTTATGGCTCTCAGGATAATTCTGTTATCCGCACGTCTTACCCCGGATGTACGTGCGGTCTACCCGGTGTATTGCGCCTGTCTTTTCGTCATTTTTAGCGCATTTTCTCATTTGTGGAAAAAAGGCGCTACTGTGCTCGTCACGTCCGTCTGTCTGTCTGTCCGTCCGTGACTCCACGTTTTCGTTGACGAGAAAATACGCTCTGTCACTCACTGCAGTGAGTACTCGAACACGATTATTCGTCAGCACCCGTTTTGTCAGTTAGGTTTAGAGGTACGCATTGCGATATTGCCGCTTTCATTTCTGTGCCGTTTATAATTGGAAATATAGAATTTAATTGATTACTTATAAAATTGATCAGCTCATTCAGCTCTGCAATTGAACTTCGCCTCAGATCTTTGGCGCATTCTAAGAACTCCCCGTGGTTTTACAATGAAATTATTTCGAAAAATTATATTTGCGTTATTTCCTTAGACCATCGATGGTTAGAAATACATAAATAGAGTACAAAAAGAAACAAAATAAGCTGATGGTGCAGTTCAGAACGGTCCGAGACGTTAAAAGCTGTCATGGCTAACTTCACTAGTTACATATTCAAAATTATCGAAATAAAATTATTTTATTACATCGCAAAAAATAACTTTCTATAAGCATGGAAGTAGTGAGCAAGCTTTAATTTACAATTCAGAAGTAAATATGTATGCAGCAGACTATCATATAAATACTTTAAATCAAAATAAATAAAGATTCCAGAATATATACCAATTTCCGCAATAAGTATTGACCAATTTAATGTAATCTTCAGAAAGCAGCATCCCCACGTCATAGAAGGAAAAAAGTTTCGTACACCTTCACAGCTGATTCTCAAGACCAGATCTACCTATTGCCTCAAAATAATCTTTCTTAGATCTATACCCTCAATATAATCCCCTATTTAGCGCATTTTCTCATTTATGGAAAAAATGCACTGTTGCGCTCGCCATGTCCGTACGTCTGTCCGTGACCTCAAGTTTTCGTCGACGAGAAAATGCGCTCTCTGTCACTCACTGCAGTGAGTACTGAGTTATATTTTTTTAGATCTATAGCGTCAAAATAACTCTGTATGGCGCGAGACAGTGATGTATATTGTATTATATATTGTATGGCGCGAGACATGAGCTGCCTCCCTCCGAGGTCTGCCATGGTAACATGAGTATTAACATCAGACCCAGCGTGGGCTGCACCACCACCAGACCTGAGCTACCTCCCTCCGAGGTCTGCCATGGTAACATGAGTATTTAGCAGATGCAGCGTATAGCAGGCAATGTGATTTTAGTATGGAACAACTGGATCGATTTGGCACGATTCTATTTCAAATATATCCCAACATGTCTATATCACAACATGATAAAATATATCACAATATGCCAACAAATATACCGCTATGGCGCTATCACAATACGTATGCCAACAAATATTATACACAAACACATATACCAACAACATGTCAAATTCAAATACCTATTTCACAACATGCCAACATCTTTGACATGCCTAGAAAACTAAACAGATGGCGAAACTCTCAAACAGAAGACGTGGAGGGAATAACAGATTAAGAAACAAATTCTCTGCGACTAAATAATGTGAGCAATGAGGCACAACTGTGAGATGTTCAGGCAAGACCAGAATATGCCAAGCACCTTGATGTTGTGTGAAATAAAAAACACGTCACGACGAAATAAACCCCAAAGCTGCTAGTGAATTGCGGACTAAACAACAATACTTGATCGTTCAGCTAAGAGTTGAACTTAGCCCAAACTCACACGTCTTATTTGTTCGTAGAAGGAGGAGAGAAGGTAAGACTAAGGTCCACCTTAATACAGAAAACCGTTTAAAATATTCAGCCCATGAGTCCAGGATTCAATATTCATTCATTATTGTTCAGTCTTAACCATTTCTGACTTTGTGTTCGTTTTGTTGATGTGTTGCGCGACAAAATTGCATCAAATTGCTGATTTCTGAAAACTGGTACACGGTACATATTTTAAGGTATATACCGCAGGCGTCACTCTCCGCTGAGATTATTCGATTTGTGCTGTGATATTCATGATAGACAGTAATACATGCATGAAATTATGTCAACATAGCTTATTAGGTACGGCAAGGACCATTAGAATTAGTTGGCCCACAGCTCTTCAAAAAACAAGTGATGTATGGTGTAGGTAGAGTGGAAAAATCAGCAATGGTTAACATGCGTAGCGATGCAGCCCCTTGAAGAAAGGCGCAAGGATAAATATATAAAAAAGTGCCTGACTTGTGATGCGTACCCGCGCTGTACGAAGTTCAGCATTGATATAAGAAGCTGAGCATGTTTGTTCTCACCTCCCTTAAAGACACGACGACATCGGGCGTCGCCTGCAGGTACAGCAGCACGCAGATGTTCACTAGAGCGCCCACCAAGATGCCCCACTCCAGCGCCCAGAACACGCACAGCAGGAACGTCGTCCACAAGGGAACCTGTTATAAAGAGATAAGAGCTATAAGCGATAAAAGCTATATAAAATTATGAAGCGATATGAGCTATAATCCTTCATAACGATGTCCTGCAACAAGCCTCATGATATGAAGACATCAACACGAGCATATAAGTCTTCATAGCGGTGTCCTGCCACAAGCCTCATGATATGAAGGCATGGCATGGATTCCAGCAATAACTGAGATGTAAATAAGTTCACATACGTTGCACGCAACATGCGGTCTTGTCGGAGAAACGGTTGATAACTTAGTCACGATAACGCGCTTAAGTAAACAACTATTCATCTCGAAGAAACATTAAACGACCACATAAATACAGGCAATGAGGCGCGAATGCGCTTGACCTGATGCCCTCATGTGGCTGAAGCTCTGCACTTCAGTCTGGATTTTTTTAGCTCCAATTCAGTGCTCAGGAGAAATTCTAACAAGCTAGGTATCATGCGTGTGGTAATTTTCCATATGATTACTTGCATAATAGTGGAAGTATATGATATAAATGTCAATGATCAAGCCCTACAACGAGCTCAATAAACCTTCGATATAACAAAATGGGACTCGAGGCCATACTTAAATTGTAGATAGAAATACTAAATTTTACGCAGCTCTTGTACTGAAAATTCAACGCCTATTTGCCTGAAGCTCTCTGATAGTGAATGCCAAAAGATTTCTAACGATATTAATGCAATAATTGAGGTTCATGACTTCCTTTATTGGATTAAAAAATGGAGAAAACTGAATTATTGTTATTATTAGCTGAGAACTGCACAACTCCATAAGAGTACGGTACCTGGTCGAGCTTGTACGTCCTCCAGATGGGCAAGACGTCATGGTATTCTATCATGAATATCACAGCACAAATGATCACAGCCGAGAGTGACGCCTTCGGTATGTACCTGCAAAAATGAACCCGTTTTCAGAAATTATTTACAGCGAGGTCGGTCACATGGCAGTAACGATAGTAACATTTATGCAGAAAAGGGCGCAATGATGTACATAAGTTTACATACAGTTTGAATTTGTAAACCAACAATAAAACTTGGATCAAATTAAGCCAACAGCGCTTTAAAATACGGTGGAGGACGATTAGAAATATTTGGCCCTTGAAGGTAGGCTGGAGGAAGGCTCTCACTTGAAGGCAGGAGGAAGGCACCAAAGGCACTTGAAGGCACTAGAAGGCACTTGAAGGCACTTAAAGGCACTAGAAGGCACTTGAAGGCACTAGAAGGCACTTGAAGGCACTAGAAGGCAGAAGGCACTCACTTGAAGGCAGGAGTGAGGAAGAGCAGGGCCAGGATCACCAACAGTCCCGTGGTAAGGCCCCCGGCTTGGGTCTTGACGCCGCTGGTGGCGTTGACGGCGGTGCGGGAGAAGGAGCCTGTCGTCGGGATGCTCTGGAAGAACGAGCCCGTGACGTTGCACAGACCCAGCGCCAGCATCTCCTGCAGCAGACATGGGGTGGTCAGGACGTGATGTATCATTGGTGATAAGTTATTCGTTAATCAACACCTGCCATATCATTAGTGATGACAGTTATAAGTTAATGCTGTTGTTGTTAGTTGCGACCATCACGCTCGCCGGGGGGGAGGTTCTGGTGGCGGGCGGGGGCCGGAACCGGAAGAGGAGGGAGGTGGGCGAAGGCAGGGAGGGTGGCCAGGAAAGCCGCTACCTCCACGGGGCTGTCCCACAGTGAGGAGACGCTGAGAGACGTGGGGAAGGCGGGGCAGACGAAGAGGTGCTGAACAGATAGGAGGGGGTCCCCGCATTCCGGGCAGGCGGAGCTAGGGGAGCGTCCGATCCTGGCGGAATAGGACGCCAGGGAGCTGCAGTATCCCGAGCGGAGCTGGGATAGCGCTGAGCGGTAGGGGCGAGGGAGTGAGGTCTCCACTGAAGCAATCGGCGGTGGCGGGGCAGCAAGGACGGCGTTTATGGCGTCAGTCGCCGCCACGCGGGAGGTAATCTCCCTGCGGAGAGACCGCTTAGCTTCTCCGTATGTCCCGGCAGGCAGGATACCATTTGTCAAGAGTGGTGTGACAAGATGGCCGAACTTCGACTGCATCGAGGCTTTCATAGAGCGGTCACCCAGAGGGGCAGAAACCATGCGAAAGGAAGCATGGGAGGGCTGGAGGGCGCTGTCCCCGATCTCTGCCGCGTCTACGTCGTGGGGGTACCCTGGCCTACGCGTCGGCCGGTTACCCGGCATTCACGTGGGCCAGGCCAAACGGCAGAAGCCCCCCCCGCCCGGATCGCTACCGGACGGAGGCTCCTTCACCTTATAAGTTAATCGACACACGCTGTATCATTAGTGATAAGTTGTTAGTTAATCAACAAATGCTACGGTATAACATTAGTGATAACAGTTAGTCATTGCCGCGTCATAAAATTACGTATAGTGACACTTTACAGCGTAGATGAAGAAAAGGATCTAGTATGAATTTTTTGGAATGAGCAGCAACGGACAAGTGCACATTTGGACGCCGAATCTCGGCAGGCGCCCAGCGAAGCAAGAGGCAGCCCCAGAGCGCTAAATTTCCACACTGCTCTAGTTGTGTTTCGTCACGCTTCTCACTTTTACGTGTAGTGATATGATTTCATATTAAGAGAGTTGGCGGCAAAAAATCCATTCAAATACAATCGCAATTTATAATTTCAGCATATTTATGTATGGGTAATCGTCAGGCTTCTCACTTTTGCGTGAAGTGATATGATCTCATATTGACAGAGTTGGCGGTAAAAGAATCCATTCATATATAATCACAATTCACAATTTTAACATATTTATATATGGGTAATCGTCAGGCTTCTCCCTTTTGTGTGAAGTGATATGATCTCATATTGAGAAATTTGGCGGTAAAATAATCCAAATACAATCACAATTCACAATTTTAAGATATTTATGTATGGGTAACCTGCGTGGCATCGATGGCTTTGCCGCCAGCAAAAGCGCTGGCGATGGCGATGTTCTCAATGACAGCGATGAGAGGCAGGATGAAGAGGCCGATGCTCACGCGACTCGCAATCTCAGTGAAGTCGAGATCTTCAGTGCCGTTGTTACACGTCACTGAGAAACTGGGCACTGACACTTTAGGGAAGCCTGCAGTGATGTCACCCGTTATCTTGAATGGTTCGCTCTCACGCAGACCGTAGGCTATTCCTGTGCTGATGATCACGATGATAGCATTCCGGCCAACAGACACGAAGAAAATTGCTTTTTTCAGGATGCGTTGTTTGGTGGAATCTCCTTCGCGTGGTTTGGCAGCATTCAGCTCCCTCATGGACTGCGTAGTGAACAGGTGCAGAGAATATAATAAACACTGGCACTAATAAAATTCTCACTAAAATACATGATGTTTTTCAAAAATCCACGATATTCTCTGATACAAATAGTAAAATTTATTAGCTAATCTTTGCAATATCTAATCAAAAGGCTTACAATTTGCATTTCTAAGACATTTTCTATGCAGGCATTCAACACAAAATGACCCATATCTGCTCTAAGTGCGCTATTATGTGTTGAAAATGTATGTATAATTTTAAACGTAAGCTCTTCCGTAGGATCACATTACGTCAGCCCTGACAGCGTAACTATGCAGCAGGTCTACCTTGAGTAGCAGCAGAGCGATGCAGCAGACGATGCCCAGCACAGCGTCCTGGTAGCGCGTCTCGCTGATGTGCTGGAATATTGCCTTCCATGTCTGGATGAAGCCCTCAGCCTCAAATGACAGCCCCAGCAGCCCTGATATATGGTATATGGTATAGGTATCATATATGTATAAGGTATATGATATAGGTATGATATGGTATATGCTATATGATATAGGTATATGTTATATGGTATATGATTTATGGTATATGGTATATGATATATGGTATATGATATACTATGACATATGGTATACCTTTGATCTGAGACGTGGCGATGGTGACGGCCGCGGCAGACGTGAACGCGCTGATCACAGTGCGCCCGATGAACGTCACCAGGAAGCCTGCAACATAATTACTTAATGAGCTTTTTGAAAGGGGTATGCAGGAGTATTCACATTAGTCAATGTGCTAAAATTATCAATAAAGATGGGAAAGCACTAATAAAAAAAATTGTTTGTTCTTTGATGGAATTTCAGTATCAACCCTTTAATTCAGAACAGATGTTGTTCATTGATTTACTTAGTTCAGATTTTGAAGGGGTTTGAAATTGAAGACAAATTCGCTTGGGTAGTAATATCCTTGAAATTATAACTTCATCATTATACAATCTTAAAAATTTTTCAAAATCTTTCATCTATAGGAATATACTGAAAATTTGTTAGAATTATTTACAAAAACCATCAGCTCCCTCGAGGGAAATCACTTTAAAAATTTTCAGTAGGAATTTCTGGACTGTATATGAAAAATTGAGATTTTCAATGAGCAGCATTAGAGCTGACCTATCCTCAGGACCGTGGCGAGCAGGATGACGATGCCAGTAATAAAGGTGAGCATCACAGCCACTTGTGTAGGCCCGACCGTCTCGCCCTCACCGCAGTCCAATGCTTTTAAATACTCGTGCGTCATGATGGACATGATGGCTGTAGGTCCTATCGTGACGTCCTTGCAGCTCCCGAATAACATGTACACGAAACATCCGATGAAGGAGGAGTAGAGGCCATACTGCAATGAAATCATACGAGTATTAGAAAATGATGAACATTAATGGACATGGACTGAATATATCTCAAAAATATAACGCAGTCCTCAATGCAGTGAGTGACAGAAAGCGCATTTTCTCGTCGGCGAAAACGTGAAGTCACGGACGGACAGATGGACGGACAGACACAAAGAACACTCACCCTAGAGTGTAGACACAAAGAACACTCACCGTGCAAAAGAAACACTCACCGTAGGTTCCACTACACAAACATAACATCAAAGACCTGCAGAAGATGCACTCACCGTAGGTTCCACTACACAAACATAACATCAAAGACCTGCAGAAGAGGCACTCACCGTAGGTTCCATTACACAAACATAACATCAAAGACCTGCAGAAGATGCACTCACCGTAGGTTCCATTACACAAACATAACATCAAAGACTTGCACCATATCGAACCCGGTGGAAGTCTAGTAGCTATTTCAAACTTTCGTCAATCATGAAAAGATCCGGTCAAATGAAACGATATTAGATCTTCTGTGAACAAGGCACGAAAAGGAAAAGAATCGGCGACAGGCCACATTGGCCTACACTGCATGAAGCGCCGAGATCACTATGTTATATTATGTTTGTTATAACATCAAAGACCTGCAGTAGATGCACTCACCGTAGGTTCCACTCCAGAAACAACAGCATAAGCAATGCCTTGAGGTATGACAGTGAGACCGACAGTGAATCCAGCAAGGACGTCTCCTTGCAGACATTCCACGTTGTATTTGGGGGCCCACTGTAGGATGGGAACTCGCTTCTTCACAAATGGCTTGCACGACTTTCCTAGTCTCTGCTGCACATGAGAGAAACAGATCCATGATATAGGTAATCTTAATGAGCAAATTGGTAAAATCAATCAATCATGACAGAAAATTGTCAATCAATCGTGATTGAGATTTAAAAAGATCTCAAAATCTTAATCAATCATGATGGATAATGTTTTAATTTGGCAAATGACCATCAAATCTGGGCAACCTTGGAAAACATGCTAATCAAAATAACAATGGGATGCTAACTAGGCAGAACAATAATTTTGCTTCCCTTGACATCAACTAACTTATAAATATGCAAACCATTTCATTCTTTTTAAATACGGTACTCAAATATAATATAACCTTAGACAGATGAGTAAATCATCTGGGATAGAAACCTTCTGAAGCTTGCCCTGCAAAGTATAACTAAATATAACAACACATTGTAATAGCTATTGGAAACACTGCACCTATACTGCAGCACCTATATTGGAAGCACTGCATACCTATATTGGACCTATATTGGAAACACTGCACCAATAAAAATTAGGGATTTCTTATTGAGTACTTTAGAAATTTATATGTGTTCAAAAAATATGTTTTTTTCATGAGATATCAAGAGTTGTAATCATGGTACTAATAGCGCACCTTCACAAAAAAATTTTTCCAGGTAAATACTGTAGTTGACAAAATTCACTCTTTTGTCTCAGGATTACAAGTCACAAATTTGATGGCAACCAAAAGCACACCCCTCCCTAGTTATTAAAGTTTTTCCTGAAAACTGACTATGCATGAAATAAAAACCTTAGATTATTAAATTTTGCAAACAAATGATCAAAATTTGCAAGACTAAATGAACATCAATAGTACAACAAAAGCTAGTTAGTGCTGCACAAATATTTAATTATTTGACTCAACATGTATTGGTGTAGAATTCTAGGAGAAGACACAAGTACTCAGAGATTTAAATCTAAGAATTGCAGGATAATTTCTCCCTCCTGATACAAAGTTTAAAATAAATCTTATCTTCATGATATACATACAACTTCATTTTTTCATAAAAAAATATTTATAGTCTTCATATATACCTATACTTTTTCGGATATCTTCAAATAATCAATCAACAGGATATATCTGCTAAAGAAAAAGAACATAGGGTTACATAACCTGAGCATTATTAAATATTGGTTAACAAGGACTTGATCTTAAATTATAAATGTAATACAGGGAGAAAGAAGCAAATTGAAGGAAAACATTCACCAAGCCACCTCAACCCTGTAGCAACAAGCTCGCTCACCTTGCCAAGGCAAAATACTACATTGCATCCATACCAATTGTTGAAATTTGTTCATTGAAAAAACCTGACAGGTGACAAAAACCTCCAACTTGGCAAAGACGAGACTGAAATTAAGGCGTTGAGAACCGCAAGCCTTCAGGCAGGCTTGGCTTGTGCCCTATGGGATTCTATCACTACATCAATGCATTATAATTCTGCTTGTAAATGAAATGAAAAATATCAAATAAACTTTTATCATTTGATATCATTTGATTTTCATCATAAAATATCAATGTGAATTTTTTCATGCTTATTTAGCTATTCATTTGCAATTTCTTTTACAGAAACAGAAAATATGTAAATTTTGCATAACATCAGTTATGATAGAGGAAAATGTTGTACATTGAAATTAATTATATATTGACATAAATTCTCTATTTAGTGGTTTTAGACATATCTGAATCAATCTCAATTTTGTAGAGACATGTTAAAATTAATGTATTTTTTACTGTTGAATCAGAGATTAACCATTTTCTTTTAATGCAGGCTCTGACCATGTGTTGCACCTTTCATGCGATACCTTCCTTCTTGGTCATAAATTTACTGGCGTGAAGAGGGACTGCTCTTGGGCTGTCCCTTTACCCTTGGGGGTAAAGGGACAGCCTCCTTACCCTCCCGGCTGCTTGGTGTTAAAGGGCTAACATGACACAGCCATCCATTGTTTTTTACTAGGCAAGATCCCAAGTGACAACATTCGTTTCTCTTGTAAGAAATAATAAAACTTATGCCTTTCATCAAGACAAATCAATAAAGGACTCCAGTTGAAAAGATGGAGGTCAGATTTATTACATTCATTACTTATAATATAAATAACAAGATTTTCACCTCATAAGTGTGAGGTCTAGTAATAGTAATTGAAAAATCCTTCATTTTAGAAGCCTTTTAACATGTCAATGGTATGTTGATTATTGCTATGTATTACAATCAATATTTATGTCTTGCTTCAATGCTGTATCAATGTTGTTTGCTCCAAAGAAAACAGCAAAATCTCCAGAAGGTTTTAAAAGCATTGGCTTTGAGCAAGAATGTTGTCAACAATAGAACTCCAACAGTGAATTTAAATAGTGGTGAAGACGAATTGATGGTACTGTGGTAGCACACAAAACTGGATGCTTGCATTCACAAATCCAAAAAAAAAAACATCCTCAAAAATTTCTTAACAAAGCGATGAAGAATTGGAAGCTTATTTGGTTCATTAGAAGGCCAACCATGGAGTGGAAGTGCACGAAAGTTGAAATGGAAACTTTTGGTCAAACTTTCAGTTATGAAAGAAATGCTTTCATAACAGTGTTAGAAGAAGCTATAAGGAACTTTATTAAAACTTTCTTACTGCCCTTTTATACTTTTCTGCTTCTATCCAAAGATTAAATTCAGACAAAATTTACCATAAAGTGAATGTTACTTTGTGCCCTGGATACCATAAGATGTACATATTATTGTTTTGGCTCAAGCAAATAAAAGTGCAGCTCCAAAGTTTCTACTCAAACATGTTACCTTGCACTGTCAATGATATGCAGCTGTTGAATACTCATTACACTAGTCATTAAGCATTATTCCAAGTAGCCGCAACAAAATGGAGACAGAGCCTTACAACCTTTCCATCACACACCTCCTTCAACAACCCACACTGTAGAGCCACAACCTCAACTTTCTCTCTGCATCCATCATGTTGCCATACGTCTAACACCTCCTGTGGGGCTGGCATTACAACAAACTAAAAATATTACTGCAGATGGTGTCACTATCCCTGTTGTTATAAGTAAGCTATTGGTCTCAGTACAGTCCGAATTACATTCTCTGTTGTCTGATATACCTACATTAATTATCAGTGAAGGCTAGAATTTTAATGTGTTTCTGCAACCTTCTTTTTATGTGCCTACAATATGTATTGATGTGATAAAAATAATTGATATTATAGCAATGATGTCTTTTGTGGAAAAATTTATACTGTAACAATTAAATATCATCAACATGATTTGGGAATTGAATAAAGAATATGAAGCATTTATATAATAGAGATGTGAATAAAACTTTTAAAAAACAGTGTGTTTTGCCTGAAGACTCGGCTCATATTTAAGGGATAACCACACATCGAAGGTGGGAGAGAGGGGGAGGGATGTGGAAGTTCAGCTTAGCTGCCTAGCACTTTTTCTCAATAGCATATTGGTCTAAGTTTATGCACACCCGAAGTGTGTTCCATTAATATAATTCACAATTTGATTAATATGACAATTACTTATTACAATTTGATAAATTTGATATAACAATGCTTAAATTGGTTTATGCATGAATAATTCAAACATAATCATGTCCTTGAAATTGATAAATGAGATAGATAAAATGGAAAAAAAAAATGTCAACATTTAGAGCACCACAATATTTTATGTTGATTTCTTCGAGGTCATGCTGTGAATAGCAGAGTTTTTGGTAGGAGTTTTAGTCAATCAAGACAAGTGAGCTGGTGCAAGGGTGTAGTGTGGTGCAGCTGGACAGTCCTGTGCTCGCACGACATTCATGTGGTGCAGTGCCTGCAAGACGTTAGACCCAGAGCCCTCACGAGTCATGCCAGCAACCTCTGGAGGATGACTGTGGACTTTGATCAGGTCTCAGCATCAGCCTTAAGGCTTCATTAACCATATTTGTCCATTTGGACAAATGAGCTTCAAATGTTCACAAAAATCACCATTATGAAGGGCAAAAAATATGTACAGCAAATGTTCACTAGCGCTTCAGCTATTTAGCAATCTCTCACCAATGAAAGTTTCATAAATAAAAATTCATTCATCACCCACATGGGTCATAAGGTTGCAAATTTTCCAGCTTGCTAAAGCTGGCATGGAAGAAGCAGCGTTAGCATTTCAAAGAGACCAAGTGACAAGGAGGGACAGGTGAAGAGTAACAGAAACGAAGACACTCGAACAAGAGGTCGCTTACACGGGACGTCGGCTGCCCGTACGAGAGAGACAGAGAAGGGAAATGCAAGGAATCCTACCTACATAATAACTTAACATAAGGAATCCTACCTACATAATAATTTAACCCTACAACTGACACCCACAGCCAGACACTGCGAGCTCAGTGATGGGGCGATCAGGAACCATCCCCTAGAAGCACAAAATCCTATAGGATGCAAAGACATGTGTCTGAAGTCCTAAAGAGTTAAATGCTAGGGTTTTTTATAGATCATTACCTGCCATGAGCGGTTGTTGCCAGTCTCAACTCCCACTCCAAGATCTGCAAACAAGCGGAAGCAATTATTTATGTGAATCAATAAATATTTAACAGAAGCATACAAAATATCTGTCCTGAGGGACATGCATGAAGGTAATTGAACATGCTTTCCCAACAAATTTAACAGATTTATTTACAGATAACGTATTTGGTGTACATAAATTTTTTCAAACAGAAAATTTAGTGCAATAAATTTTACCCAATAGATGGCACCATTACACATAAACATATTTGAATGAAAATGAAAACACAGATGAACATATGAAAATTTGATCACTTCAACTTCTAAAATTCAGAGCTTAAAAGTGGGACATCTTGAGAAAAAATATCAAATTTCTCTGAAAATTTACCTGCAACTTTCATTCAAAAGCTAACAAAAAAATATTTATCATGAATACTTTCAGAATTGACTTTACAACATAAAATTTAAGTAAAATTTTACTGACTTAAGAAAAATATTAGCAATGATTACTCTATTTTTTCATCAAGATTTAGTTTTGCACCAGAGGAAGTTTACTAATCATATTACAGAATTTTCCAGTATTTCTGAAACTTATGCAATGTATTGAAGTTTATCTTTCATTATGAGTGGTAACTTGACATAGTAATACAAGATCTCTGGAAATGTCTTTAGAGGTTCATCACATCTTACAAACATCTAGATTAGCTACATAGTATACGAGGAACACTTATATGAAGCTTATATATATTCTGTGAACACAAAATATAGATGTTGATGATCACAAACAGACACAAACAAGTGAAATAATAACGATTTTTTTTAACGAAATCCAATAGCCTTAGAATCATGATCTTACAATTACTAGCAGGTAAAGCCAGCAATATTACATATATATTCAAGTAATACTAGTGGGGTTGTGTGTGGCAAAAGGTAGATAACCAATGGTAGATATGGGTTAACTTACAATGAAAGAATTACTAGGTACAACAAGGTTTACCCTACTGCCTGCAGGGATTGAAATTTGAACAAAATCAAATTCCATAATTCATTACAAGAATGTATGAACCATTTTATGATGTATTTCCTGTAATGATTTAGCCTCCCCTGAACTGACAATACCTTCAGAATTCTGCATATTGAAGGAGTAAATCACAGTTGAATAATTTATTGAGTATGGTCACTATGCTAATAAAAATTAATGTAATTTACATAAATTTAAGGATACAAGTGTAAAGGTAACTCTGCATCAGGGTCATGCTATCAGGGCCCCAGAAATAGACCCCCCCGTATCAGGGTAACTATACAACTTCAATTTACTGCCATTTGACCAAAATAATTCAATTAATATACAGTAATAGATATTGCTATTTCCATTTAATTTCCATTTAAACAAATTAAATAAAGAGCATCAATTTCAAATTCCAGGTAAAAACTTTCATTTAAATGATCACACTTTGATTCTTGGGCAAGGTAGGAGATGATGTTATTAATAGAACCATTGTCAGACAATTGTTGATAGGCAGAGGCATGATAACATAACAGCAAACACAAAGTAGAGGTTGTTATGGGTCTATTTAGAAGGAGATTTCAAGTAACCATACATAGTAACTTGCTTGCTAAAAAGTTAACCTGCCACCTGGCATGGTTACTTAATTAGGTGTGGCAAGTAAGCTGAAGATCAAGCAGAAGTTGATCAGGAATGAAATTCAAAGCTTCAAAACAAAAAAGTAACAGCATAGATAGTATCACACCCCAAGACCCCTTGCAACTTATATAATAGAATTTGCCCCTCAGATATAAAAAGATAAAATGTATCCATGTAAAATTTGCCCCTCAGATATAAAAAGATAAGATGGTATCCATGTAAACAGGTTTGGAAAAAAGTTCATGAAATGTGAACAGGAAAGTAAGTTGACCTGGTATTTCATGGAAGGGGGTGGATGATGATCTGTTCAGCGCATCTCTGGATTCATCTTCTGAGCCATAGAATTCTTGATAGGAAGACATTTGTGGAAACAAATTTTATCCTTCATCCCAAACAGTCAATAAATTTAAATACAAACACACAGAGCAGCCAATGCCAACCAACTTCACCACTGGGCACATCCCCTCCATCAGAATTTTGCTCAAAATATCAATAGTAATATTAATCTATGTACATATTTATTGGTAAATTAGCCTTCAAATATTAGTGAAGACTGAAAAGTAACAGTGCAACTGGCAAAAAAAAAAGCAAACACATCAATACATATTTCTCAACATTTATTTTAGCAGGTCTCTGACTCTGAGGATTTGCATGTTTGAAGCCCAGCACCACCAATTCATAGGAGCTGTCAGGCCACATACATGATACTTATCATGTAGAGCCAGGCGCCACCAATACATAGGAGCTGTCAGGCCACATACATGATACTCATCATGTAGAGCCAGGCGCCACCAATACATAGGAGCTGTCAGGCCACATATATGATACTTATCATGTAGAGGCTAGCCAGGCACCACCAAACCAATACATATGATGATAGGATTGATAGGAGCTGTCAGGCCACATACATGATAGGTACTTATCATGTAGCACTGTAGCAGTAGCTATTACTAGAACCTGAAATTTTTTTTCTGATTCTGAAAATAAGAAAATATTGTAGAGATGAGGTAAAAAAAATTTAAAAAGAAAATATGATTTGATCAATTGTAAATATATCAAATTCCATTTAAAATATGAAAAATTAAATTTGCTGTCATAACCTAGTTAACTAGGACCTAGGTTGTATATTAAAATGGCAAAATGGGACATGGGGGTCCTATTTGAAATTTGTTTCTAGAGGGATCTATATTTGATTAGAATACATAAGATTTAGGTTGTAAAGCTAGCTAACCTAAAGTCTAAACTATGAATTTTTTTTTCTCAAAAATTATGATGGTTGTCAGTAAAATATCACTTTGTGTTTCAGGTATGTTTTATTACAATATGTTTTTGTTATAGTGAATTCGCTTCAGGTTGACTCAATTAAAATGGTGCAAAATTACAAGCTGAAGCTGTCCTGTAACCTGTAAGTGTGAGCTTAGCCTACCCTACCAATCCTACCTACAAAAGAAATGCTAGGCTACTACATGATGATCATGATGTGTGGAGTACATGGCTGCTGATATGAAGTTATGAACTTGAAGCTTGCAGTGGACAAGGACACAAGGTTGTTGTCAATCAGTCAATGCTCTACAGTCTACCAGTCATTAGTCAATGCATGTCCATGGATTAGGCCTATCATATCAATAAAAATATTTTTCATCAGTTATTAAGGAAAAACGCTCAAAACCGTCCCTTATTACACCGTTTGACGGTAGTCTTATTTACCTTCATATTTACAGTAGCATGACAAATAAAGTTTATAAGTACGTACCTTCGTACCTAAGTAATGAATGTAGGTAGCCTAGACTGCCTAGTTCACTTACAAAACTACAGCTTGAGCTGCAGCAAAGACTTCTAGCTGGGAAATCAGCTGTTAATTTCTTCCCACCCTTTCCTACTCCCCCACTAGGCCACTAAGAATAATATTCAGGACCAATTAATTTCCCGACACGAAAAAATATCATGCATACGCCCCCTAACACCCCCGACCCCGTATGCAGGTAGTATATTTGTATAGAAGGCTTCTAACACTTACACTTGGACAAACATGGATGATGGCTAAGATAAGAGGCTGAAACAAAAAAAAAATTCAGTGGACGTCAAACCTGTAAGAATTGCTTGATAAAATTATCCGGAGCAAATTTTTCACGTTGACGAATAGTGTAGACATGGTTGAACTAGTTCAGTGGTTCCCAAAGTGGGCGATATTGTGAAAGATTTTGGGGGGCGGTAAAGAAGAAGAGGGTGAAAGGGGGGCGATAGGGGGGCGATAGAGAAGGCGGCAGTCCGAAGTCGAAGTCAGAAGTTCGAACGTTTGTTTGACGACTTGTACACAACACGTGCAGCACACGACTCCCAGCGATGGTTTTTTTTCACCCAGATCTGTTTTTAGCGCATTTTCTCATTTATGGAAAAAATGCACTATTGTGCTCGCGATGTCCGTCCGTCTGTCTGTCCGTCCGTGACTTCACGTTTTCGTCGACGAGAAAATGCGCTCTCTGTCACTCACTGCAGTGAGTACTGTGCTATATTTTTTAACCTCTCCTGGGTTTAGGTCTCCGACCAATTAACGGCCGGACTCGCGGCCGGTCTCACGGCCAATTTCTAAATTCAATGATCAAGAAATATCTCTCAAACTAATGAACTTAACTCGATAAAACTTGGTACACGTATTCATTAGGACCTTACGGTAATTTAAAGCTCGTTAAAATTTTTTTTTGTGTCTTCAATTGTGTTTGCCATAGTTATATGGCAATACGGGCCGAAATTCACATTGATCAGGGAATTTCTTCCAAACTACCTAACAGATTCGAACGAAATTTTGAATTTACAGTCCTAACTACCGAACGGTGATGTTTAGCTTGTGAAAATTTCTTCGATTGTGCCTTCGTTCGCGAGTTTCATTCGTGATTTAAACAGCAATGCGTGCTTAAATTCGCACAAATCAAGAAATTTCTTCCAAACTACTGAACAGATTTGAACGAAATTTTGTATTTTAATACCTAACCTCAGCAACGGTGATGTTTAGTTCGCTACAATTTTTTCGTTTTGCCTTCGTTTGCGATTTATACGGCTCTTGGTTAAACCAGCCGGTAGAAAAGCCGATCGTTCCTCCTACCTATATCTGTATAACTTGCGAACGAAAGCGAATAAGGAAGAGTGAAATCAAGAATGACGGTAAAATGAAAAATATCTCGCAAATGACAGCAAAATCAAAAAATTTTTTGAATCGAAAAAACACCATTTGGTAGTTAGGAATGTATATTCAAAATTTCGTTCAAATCTGTTAGGTAGTTTGGAAGAAATTCTTTGATCACTGCGAATTTCGGCCTGTATCGCAATATAACTCACGAATGAAGGTGATATTTAAAAAATTTTCGCAAGCTAAATATCACCGTTAAGTTCTGATGAATACATGTTCCAAGTTTTATTGAGCTGAGTTCATTAGTTTTGGTGATATTACTTGATAATTGAATTTGGAGATTGGTCGTGAGACTGGCCACGAGTCCGGGCCGTAAATTTGCCCGAGACGTCCTAGGTTTTTGGTGCTGAAACAGTTAAAACAGCTGATAAGCATATTGGTTCACTATTATGGGTTCTATTTGTGAAATACACATTTGTGTTTAACCTATATCTTTTAAAATTGCAGCGTACTAAACTTTATAGAAAGAGTCGCATGGTTTTATGTGTGTCTGTGGGGGGCGCTAGAAATTCACTAGGGAGCCAAAGGGGGCGCCAGCCTGAAAAAGTTTGGGAACCACTGAACTAGTTGAATAGTTCCACCACGAATCATTGAGTGTAGAGTCGTACGCAACGAAACAACCAACATTTGTAAATGAGAGGAAATGAAATAGCTATGCATCTGAGATTGGACACAGACCTGAGATAAGTGAATAAATTTATGGCTAGTTGCCTCTTCTGTTGCCAGCTCTTAAAATGACTTTCATGCTAAAATCTCAAGCAAATTATGCTAAATCCCTCTGCTTTGCAGCTAAACAGCTTATTTTACTTTCGTTTTTGCCACTAAAAGCTAATTTCTCCCGCCGAACGCGTTGAAAATACGATAGCTTTAGCGGAAAAATAGCAGAATTGGTAACACTGCATGCCCTCAACAAGACTAGGTGCATCATGGTTGACCTATACACGGTTGAACTATATAGTTGCATGAGGTGCATTGCAAATAGTGCAAATAGTTTCCCGAGAATTCATGCTTTTTAACAATGAGACTTGGACTCCTGAAACTCGACAACAATGCTCCGTTTTCCAACAGTTTGATTTGTAGCGACCATGTATATATATTTCCTTCAGTTACCCCCGTAACTCATTTTCGAGGAACGTTGCTAGCCTGGTGAATTTTAGCAGAGTTACCCATTAACTCTGACTCAACATTATTATCCATGTTACTGCCTTAAGCATCATCATCAATTAGCAACTGCAGTTGATTTTCTGTTAGATATTATTTGACTACATATTAATATTATTAGCACCGACCTAGGATATTACAACGTCAAGTAACTCCAGTTGTCATAATCATTTGCATATCTGTAATACTGTTCGTAATCTGGCCTTCAGACCTTGACCCAGTTAATTAGGAGATGTCCTACTGCGTTTCATTCCCCAAATCGAAATATTATTGTCAGACGCTAGCGCAGTCTGGTCTCTGACTTACACGCCTTATAGCCGAACCACAGGGTGTTTGGTACAAGCAAACGTTTGGCATGAGTCACAGACCTTAAGGGACTCAATACCGCGCTGCTAGCATTCCCACGTCTTACAGATTCATTCTTTAAAAAAATATTAACAATATTTCGACGATTCCATCGTCGGACAGGCAAGACCGAATTCATTTGTCAACCGATGCGTTGGGGCTTCAATATCCATGATTGTATCTATTCAAGAATTTCTGAAATGAAGATGCAGCTGGACCCCGAAACATTTTCTATAAAGATATTGTGAATTATTGCGGGATTTTCTTTTCTTATAAATTCCTAGTGAAGTTGCGATTCAAGCATTCTAATAACATTCATTTTTCATGTTTGCGTTATCATCAATTTATGACTTCCCCGTGTAGGCAGCATACAGATATCATTTTGGAAACAGTGACCTTACTGCACTGCACAAAACAGTAAGGTCACAGTACAGTACACAGTACATTAATATCAAATTCGTGAAGTAGGTGAACAAAAAGAATGGTAATTCCCACCACTTCCATGGACTTTGTGCTGATATGCTTAAGAGAGCATCTTCGTCAAACCTAAGACCGGGAAGTACTGAATGATAAGGATCTTGAGTAGCTGCATCTGGCATCACAGGAACAGAGTGAGGGCATGGGGAGCATGCAATTCAGTCGGTTGTGTATTCCCCAAAAACGTCAAGGGAACAACGCCCTCACATTACCAAGCTTGAATTGAGAGGTTGCCAAAGTTTTACGTTATGTTGGGTGCAGAACGTTCGCCAATTATCATAAAAATTTTGTTTCTCCATTCTCACTTTCACTTCTTTTCGCCCATCCTTATAGAGTTAC